ATATATATATATATATATATATATATATTTATATATATTGTAACGTACTGAAAAAAATTTTTTTTGTTAATCAATTAAGTAAGTTTATTATTATTATATTGTTTGATATTATTGTATTATTTTATTATTATTGTATTATTTGCAAAATATCGATTTAATTATCGATTTAAATTAAAAAGAAAACTGTCACACAGCCTAGCGTCCACGTGAGTACTCTACAATGCACCCAGCTAAAGCTTGCGAAGTTATTTAATAAAAAAAAAAATTTATATATTACTCTAATTATAAATTAAGTACCGTTAACTAAATACCAGTTAAATATAAATAATCTCGTTTAGCACGACTAATTTAGTTAAATAATTGTTTTGGAAAAATACTTAATAGAAAAATAGCAGCGCGCATGCGCCGCGGAGCGGATACCGGTGAGCGAGCTCACACATCGGGGGGAAGACAGACGATCCTGGATGTAAACAAAGTTAGCACGTTTTTCTTGAGTTTTTTTTAAAAATACTAAAAAGTGAAAGACTATCATTTGTAATAAACTAATTAGGAATAGTTAAAATAAGTGTGGTCCAAGGACTCCAGGTTATATTTTTGTTGGCACCAAGCACTATCTGAAGAATAATAATAATTATTTTGTTATATTTGGAAAACGACATTGTATCAAGTAAGCGTTCAAAATTAATGTTTGGTATTAGGTTATAACTGCGTAGCTACGGCATTCAATTCCAGACTTAATAGTTAAATTTTGTATTGAACTATCGCTAATTAGGCTAGTTAATTAAAGGTTGCAAAATAAATTAATTATTTGTTTAAATAAAAGTACTAGGAAAATCATTATTTGTAAAGCTGACGGCGTCCTGCGTGACGTCATGGCCTTGAAATTCTTCTTTAATTATTCATAAGTTGTTTCTTTTAATAAATTTAGAAAATTGGAAAATAATATTGAGACATTATTTGACACAACCTATAATCTGCATAATCTCCTGAATTCTTCCCTTTGAGAGTAAATTGTCTTTAGCCGGTAATTAATTTTCTTTATTAAGCTTGGTTAATTGTCTATTTTGTTAATTTTTAATAAAATTAACTGGCGCCTTCTGGGTAACAGTTCCTGTTATTTGATATTGTATAATTCTTTTGCTACGTTTGAAGGCGTGCCAAGTTGGTAAGTTTGTACGTAATAATAATTTCAGTTGGATTTTCGCATCAAATAAAATTAATTTATCTAAATATTGTTTAATATTACGTTACAATTTGGCGCCCAACAACGTGGGGCCACCAGGAGAAATTTTAAAGCAGATTATAGGTGGTACAAAGAATGGTGGCTACGTAGTTGGAATACCTAAGAAATTATTGTAAACATTGTGCTTTTGCTTGATTTTATTTCTAATTCATATTGCTTTATGGCTTACTAATTTATTTTATTTTACTTCTTTTTTCTGCTTCACACGCGAGTATTCTCATCGTGCCCTTTCCCTCTAATTATCGTAAACAAGAGTAGGTCCAAAATGCGTTTGATCAACGTAGATAGTTGGGACGAGATAAAATTGCGTCTCGCATTGAGACTGGTGAGACTACCAGAAGAAGGCGATCGTCAGGAACTGATAGCGCGAGTCAAGCGATTCTCAATATTAATATCAGGCCATATGGGGCACCTGTTGGAAGAGCCACTGGTAGACAACGGTCCAGATAACCTCGAAGAATGGGCTAGAGAACCTGGGTCATCAACCGTACAAAGCGAGGTGGACAGTGGGACAAACGACGGTGCGAGCGATGCAGAGGAGTTCGAAAGAAGCAATGCTGAATCCACGAAGCGAACTATTATGCTTCCCAAGGAATGGCAGGGTGAGTGTATTCGTGTTACCTTGGAAAATAATGAATGTCTTTTTGTAGAATCTCCGGAGCGTCTGAGAAGGAGCCATAAGAGTGGAGAGGATCTACCAGGACTAGATGCCTCTACATCAGCACTTCTGGCTTCAAGGACCTCACCGAGGGTCCCACCAATGCCGGCACCTAGGCATAAGCAGGTGGAGGTACCCACAAAGAAATCCAGCATTTACAAAACGGAGGTTTTGTGCGATGTATCGACAGATGAGAAAGATTTGCCGCGAGGTCTCCCTAGAAGACAGACGACGGAGCCGAGAAGAAGGTCAGCGCGGTTGTTAGCTAAACATGACGACAAGGCGGAACGTTCGGAGAACGAGGCGCCGAGAAAAGTTTTGTCTTCGCGATCAACACCGTTGCTACCGCCAGGCAGGAAAACGTCGTCGTCAGGAGTGAATTTGTCACAAAATTCGGGATCGCGTGCAAATCCGAGCATCGAACATGTTCACCGATGGGGAGTTTTTTTCTCTGGAAAGAGCGAGGAGAATTTAGAAGACTTTCTGGCTGAGTTCGAGGAAAAATGTGAGGCCAGAGGGCTCGATGATAATGAAACGCTGCAGTTGGTGCCTGAAGTATTAAAAGGTACTGCCCTGAAATGGTTCAGGCAGAATAAAAAGCAATGGAGCCCACAGCTCCAGCAGGAACAAATACCACCACGAGTGCATCAGACGCTAAATCCAAAGAACAATTAGATTGTTTCCGGTGTGGGAAAATTGGACACTTGTATCGAGAGTGTCAAGAGCCATTGACACTCGTGTGTTATCGATGTGGACGTCCTGGTGTGACAGTCAGAACCTGTCCAACCTGTAACTCAATAGAGCAGGGAAATGGCCAGGGGAGCAGCGCTCAAGGGGAGGGAGCGGGCTCCGAGGCTGTGACAACTCCCATGACACAGTAAATAATGAGAAGGGTGGGATTCTTATATCATGTGAAATTATTACTGCTCAGGGTAGTATTCCTCAGGAATCCGAAGACACCTGTGACTCAGAGAGTCACAATAAATCTGAGCGTGATTTCTCTAATTTAGAAAACGCCCCGGTGGAGCGTGAAATTATTGTAGAAAACCCCATGTTGCCACCAAAATTATCTGAAACGACAGTAAAGATCGGAGCCGTTTATGCTGTGTTGGAGAAAAATACGCAAATTAATTTCAAGAGAATGATAGCTAAATTGTGGATTGGCAATATAGAACTTGACGCATTAATTGATTCTGGAGCGACAAGGTCCTTTCCGCTTCCCATATCTTTCCTTTTGTAAATTACCTTTTACAAATTACAAATTACAAAAAACCTTAACAGTAACATTGTTAAAAATGCTAGCCGTAAGATGGACGGTGTGGCTTAATGTATATAGAATAAGTGAAAGGAAATTTAGTATAGACCGAATAGCTCAAATGGTAGAGTAGCCGACATGTCTTCGGAAGGTTCTGGGTTCGAATCCCAGTCCGAGCTATCTAATAATTTTTTCTCGCATATTCTATAAACTCACATTAAGAAGTTCCTCTCCACAATCCTTTCTCAATCCTTTCCTACCAATTATCCTGTTACGTGAATGTTGGAACGCTTCACGTAATAATTATCCATAACTCCTATTCTTTCCCGCTTCACAGCATTAATTATCAGAAAATTATCAGACAAATTACAAATTTACCCAGCGGTAAATTTGTAATTTACAGGATAAGGACATAATATAAAAAATACCGTCCTACGTGTCTCGGCGAGGGAAACAAGCCACTTTGGAGGCTTGTATTCCGATTGAGGAAGCTGAAAATATGGCAGTAGAAGTTGCTAATGGTGGGCGTGAGAAGATTTTGGGAATTGCTCACGTACCAGCCACTATGGATGGAGTGACCGTACTCTCGCAATTAGGATTTGCGAGAGGTTAGACGCAGAGTGTATCTTGGGCATGGATTTCATCTATACGTTTGGTTTTACCATTTCAGCAGAATCAAGGCAATGGTGGGTGCTTGGAGGACAACGTCACCCACTATCGACGTCAGATATTGATTCTGAAACCTGTTGCGGCTTAGCTGAGCTCTCCGATTTGGAAAAAGAGAGTGTCAAACAGTTTGTTGCGGATTCACTGGACCAAATGCCAAACGACTTTGGACTGACCAACCTTACAGAACATGTGATCGATGTTCAAGATCACGAGCCGATACGACAGAGGCCGTATCCAGCTTCTCCTAGAATAAATCAAGCTATTCAGGAACAAGTCCGAGAAATGGAACGGGATGGAGTGATAGAAAGGTCATCCAGCCCATGGTCAGTGCCTATAGTGATGCATCCGAAACCAGATGGTTCTTATAGATTTTGTTTGGACTTCAGAGCAGTGAATGAAGTCACAAAAATGGATGCGTATCCCATTCCGAGGATGGATAGGATACTTGATGGTTTGAGAGGTGCAAGATATATCTCAAATATAGATTTGAGTCACGCGTATCATCAGATACCATTGCACCCGTCCAGCAAGGAAAAGACAGCGTTCCGAGTACCTGGAATGGGTCTATATCAATTTAAGAGGATGCCTTATGGTTTAACCAACGCGCCCGCGACATTTCAACGGCTCGTTGATTCTTTGTTTGGCCCGGAATGGGAACCATATGTGTATGCCTATTTGGACGATATTATTATTTCAACTCCAACACTAGAAATGCACCTGGAATTGGCCAGGAAGGTCCTAAATCGCCTGAAGGAGGCTGGCCTGGTGATCAATAAAGAAAAAAGTCATTTCTGCCGGGAGTCGATTAAATATTTGGGGTTTGTAGTGGATCGTGAGGGGACTCGCATTGATCCGGACAAGATCACTCCGTTAAAAAATTATCCGACACCGAAGAACAGAGCTGAGGTCAGAAGCTTTCTAGGATCTGTCAGTTGGTACCGGAAATTTATTAAAAATTGTGCCACTATAGCGGCAACATTGCAGAAATTGGTCAGCCCCAACAACAAATGGGAATGGAATGAAGAACAGCAGACAGCGTTTGAAAGACTCAAGCAAGAAATTATCACAGCACCAGTTTTAGTGTATCCAGACTTTACAAAGCCGTTCAAGTTATATACTGACGCCAGTGATGTGGGCCTGGGTGCAGTATTGCACCAGGAAATTAATGGCAAAGAATATTTAATTGCTTGCGCGAGTCGTAATTTACAGCTTGCTGAGAGAAAATATTTTACGACAGAAAAAGAGTGCCTAGCGGTTATTTGGGCCCTTCAGAAGTACCGAGCATATCTGGAGGGGTATAATTTCACGGTGGTCACTGACCACAGTAGTTTGCGATGGCTGCAAAATTTAAAAGATCCAGTAGAGAGACTCGCTCGCTGGGCGATGAAGTTATTAACCTTCCCTTGTAAAATAGTGCACAGGCGCGGTACCGAAAATCAAGTACCGGACGCCTTATCAAGAATACCCGGAACACGACAGGAGAACCCCGAGGAAATCAATTTGTTACAAGATGATGATCCTGACGAGGAGGTTGATGAGGAGAAATTCAGCTGGTATCAGCGGTAGATTGACCGGGTGACAGCTCATCCTGAGAGATATCCAGACTACGACTTCTTCAATGAGCATATATTATATGTGTTGCGACCTGATCGGTTAAAAGAGTTAGCAGTTCGGGACTTGGAGGCATGGAAATTAGTTGTGCCTCCCGAACACAGACTTCGAGTGCTCCAAGAGGAGCACGATAATCCTCGAGCTGGTCATTACGGAGCAGAAAAGATGTATCGTCGATTAGCACTGTGGTATTATTAGCCTGCCATGCTCCGGGATGTGAGACAATACGTGGCTGACTGCATCACTTGTCAACGAGTCAAGCCAGAACAAGCGGTTCCCCTGGGATTAATGGGTCAGCGGGACTATGATGGACCCTGGAAAGTGGTAGCAGCCGACATAATGGGGCCACTACCCCGTACTAACAAGAGAAATCGTTACCTCTTAGTGATACAGGATCTATTCACGAGGTATGTTGAAGTAGCGGCATTAACACATGCCACTGGAGATGCTATTCGGGATATCTTCGAAAAAGAAGTTATATATCGACATGGGTGTCCGGAGGTCTTACTGGTGGACAATGGGTCCGAATTTACCAACAGGAATATCAATGAGATGGGGGAAGAATTCGGCATTATAATCACACATGTCCCACCATATCACCCACAAGCAAATCCAGTAGAGAGAATCAACAGAGTCCTCAAGACAATGATGAGATCGTATCTAGATGACGTCCATGATGAATGGGACAAACACCTGGAAGAATTTATTTTTGCCTATAATACAGCAGCTCATTCATCAATGGGACACGTGAGCCCGGCGTTTATGAATTTTGGCCGAGAATTAAAACCCGGGGGGATTTTAAAAGAAGAAGTCGGAGAAGCTCCAGATCGATATGTGCAAGATCATCAGCAATGAATCGAAAGAACACAGCAGTTACAAGACTTCCGAGATTTAATATCTCAATATATACAGGGTGCCTCCAATAGGCAGGCTTATTATTACAATTTGAGGAGGAGAGAGAGCAACTATCAAGTAGGAGATGCAGTGTGGAAGAAGAATTATATTTTATCTGACGCAGTTCGACATGTGGCTGCAAAACTTGCACCGAAATTTGCCGGTCCATTTACAGTGGTGACAGTAGTGTCACCAACAATTGTCGAGTTGGAAAATATGGATGGTGTAAATATTGGTAGGCAACACGTCTCGAAATTGAAGCCCTACCGTGGTCCAAATCCTGGAGATGGTCATTAGCTTGCTAGATGAATATTGCTAAATCTTTGCATTACTTTGACTGCTTCTATAAAATCTCTCTTCATATTAATTAATTTTATGGGTTACTTCGCAGGAAATGAACGGTCACTGATTTGATCAAATTAGGAAAGATAATTAGTGACACTCTTGTTTATGTGCCCCCATTCTCGCTAATATGGATTATTTCAGGGTCATGGGTTCGAGCGGTGAAGCAGGTAAAACAAAGGCACAATGGATGTAAGTACCAAATATTAAATGTTAATTTTTTTGCGAACTCGCGGGAGCTCGTGTCCAGGGAAAGGGCATTGTAACGTACTGAAAAAAATTTTTTTTTGTTAATCAATTAAGTAAGTTTATTATTATTATATTGTTTGATATTATTGTATTATTTTATTATTATTGTATTATTTGCAAAATATCGATTTAATTATCGATTTAAATTAAAAAGAAAACTGTCACACAGCCTAGCGTCCACGTGAGTACTCTACAATGCACCCAGCTAAAGCTTGCGAAGTTATTTAATTAAAAAAAAAAAAAAAAAAAAAAATTTATATATTACTCTAATTATAAATTAAGTACCGTTAACTAAATACCAGTTAAATATAAATAATCTCGTTTAGCACGACTAATTTAGTTAAATATTGGAAAATAAATAATTGGAAAATAATATTGAGACATTATTTGACACAACCTATAATCTGCATAATCTCCTGAATTCTTCCCTTTGAGAGTAAATTGTCTTTAGCCGGTAATTAATTTTCTTTATTAAGCTTGGTTAATTGTCTATTTTGTTAATTTTTAATAAAATTAACTGGCGCCTTCTGGGTAACAGTTCCTGTTATTTGATATTGTATAATTCTTTTGCTACGTTTGAAGGCGTGCCAAGTTGGTAAGTTTGTACGTAATAATAATTTCAGTTGGATTTTCGCATCAAATAAAATTAATTTATCTAAATATTGTTTAATATTACGTTACAATATATATCCCAACAACGTGGGGCCACCAGGAGAAATTTTAAAGCAGATTATAGGTGGTACAAAGAATGGTGGCTACGTAGTTGGAATACCTAAGAAATTATTGTAAACATTGTGCTTTTGCTTGATTTTATTTCTAATTCATATTGCTTTATGGCTTACTAATTTATTTTATTTTACT